TACACAGTTTTTAGTATCAGTTTGATTTGAAAAAAGACTATTCATATTATTTTCCATGAGTAGACCAGCTTTTGGTACCACCATTGCAGACCTGCCTATGTTTGAGCCTCAAATTTGAGACTAAACCTCTAAAATTATTTAAAAGTACTGCTTGAGCCAAAAATTGTCATTTCAGAGAAAAATTAGGTTTAATCACAGTTCCCTTTTAATGTTGTCGGTTGTTTGCTGGCTTCCTTTTAACAAGCCTCACACTTTCATGCTTTAACCTCACATACATTCGCAGTGAGCAAAAAGCTCTCATAAGCTAGTCATACATTTTAGCATAATTACAAGCGATTTGATGTTACTCTCAGAAAGTTGCTGCTTTACACACATTCACGCAGGGGGGCCCAAGACACCCTGGTGTTAGGTAATGAGCAAAAGCAAAGTTTTCATTAATCAACAGTTCAGACATACAAACTACCAGATATGTGGTCATGCCATGTCATAAACTGCTGCCACAGGCTGCTGCATGTGTGTTTTGGTGGTTGGGCATGAGTTGGGTTGGTCCATCACTTTAAATTTTTTCAATATGTTTGTGCTCTTTTATATGAAAGGCAGACAGATGAACTTTTTTCTGGACTTTCTGTTTAGAAAATTACAAGACAAAGTTTCTGTCTCCTAAGAAAACATATCTCTCTACACTTTCCACATCTTAAACCTCTCCATTTCAAAACTATTGGATATTTAGCCTGATTCAAACCGTGTTATATTCTGGAATTGGCTGTTTTTAATCTTTCTTGCGATTAGGTGCAAAAATTGTTGGGTTTAGTCTTGTGTCTCATAGGATTTTATGCCCTGGCCTTGTGGACTGAAGCGCTTTGTCTAAACTTTCCTTAGAGATGAAACCTCTGTCCAGCTGTGACTTTCAGGCACATCTAAAGTCTTTTGAGTTTAGTTTTTTTTTTCATGGGCCTTAACGATGAAAATAATGATTAAACGCTCTGAAATAATTTCACAGGACCCTCCAGGTTAAGGCCATGGGAACAGCCATTGCAAAGGCTTCAACACAATCGTCCATGTCTAAGAGCATACATCTGGGCCTGAGAAACTTTCTGTCTTTGCGGCCTGTCTAAGGGACAAGGCCTCCATGGTCGCCACACCACTCCTAGCCTTATAGTCTCCAGGACCGCATCTCCCAGACACCCCGCTGTGTTGCTAGCCACTAGCGCCGGAGCTCCCACTGGGCAAACCCAGCAGGGGCCTCGGGTGGTGGGCAGGCTCCCCGGGAGCCAGATTGCACCCATTTTGCGCCAGACCTTTGTGTATCTGTTTGCATATGTGTGTGTGTGCTCTAAAAATATACATCTGTGCACACATACTTGGAAAAATATTTCTGTGTCTCTTTGGGTGCATGTCTATGTTGCTATGTGGCCCCATGAATCTGAATGGCAGGAAGAAATTTGCCAGCAGATGTCTTTGCTCCCAGAAGTCTTAGCGGGGTGCCAGTAAAGTCCCGCTGAGCCTCCACAGTAGGAACACACAGCTCGCCACAGGAGAGGCCACCAGCTCTAATGATGAGACACATCAGTCTTCCTTCCAGCCTGGCCTGACATGCCCGGGTGTCTTGTTTATGGTGGCATATCCATGGCAAAAGAATGCATATGGTAGGGGTGCTTTATGAAGCCCTGTGGGAACCTGTGTTCATTCGCAGCAGTGGAGAGCATTTAAGAGTGTTCAGCGCTGTTGGTGCAGTTTACCCGCTTGGCGGGAGGTTGTGATCCCAATTCCCTGCATGTGGTTTCCCCCATGTGTGTGCGGTTGTATATTTAAGAAGTTGTTTTATGGATTTCTCGGGCTTTAACATTCACTTTAAGCAGTATGAAAGGATTTGCTGTTTCTTGCATCCTCTGTATCAGGTGGTTGAGCAAAAAAAAAAAGTCTTAGAATTTTGTAACATTAAAAAGGTATAGCAGGATAAAACAGCCCAAGGTATTGACGATTGGTGTTTTAATTTTAGAAGACCTCACGGAGAAAACAGGCAAAACAGGAAGGCAGGTGTACTTTGAAATCGCCTACAATGGCAGAGCAGTCTTTAAGGCCCAGAATACGTCTGTTTTAGGTTTTTTAGCAGTGATACCAGCAAGTCTCTGCTTCCTTCCAAAAAGGAGTTCAGGACATCAGAGGTCACTCTGTTCTGCCTCGCTCGCACACAGCTCCCCCACTTTGCTTTCAACATCTCCATCACTGGGAGCTAGCTGCTAGTGCCGATTATATAATGACAAGCATTTTACTTCTGGAGCTAAAGCACATCAGAAAATGAAGCAAACAGAGAAGAGAGATGGAGGAGCAAAGAATAAAAAGACAGGAGCCCATGTGAGGCCATGAATGACTCCAGAGGTTGTTTTTGCATGAAAGGCTGCTTCTCGCTCTCTCTTTGTCTTTGCCTCCATCTCCCTCTCTCTTTCTTTCTTGCTTGCTGCGTGGAGAACGAGTGGTGCTTTGCTTGCCTCCAGCCAGGAGGTAAAACTATACTGCAGAGCCAGGCTGCCAAATGATGAAAGACTCTGGCATCCAGGGATGCTGTGAGCCTGGACCAAGAGCTCAGAGCAAGAGAAAATGCTCGCTTTTCAACTTAACACTTTTTTCCTACCACATTTCTTCTCTTGCTTTTTTTGGGTTTCAGTTTTTCCATCATCAGGGCGAGCATTTTTTTCCTTTTTTTTATGAGCGCTTGCACCGTAGCCTTGGAGCAAGAGCTCCTCGTGGGAGACGGGTGGATGGATGGAAGTGGTGAGGAGAGGGAGGGTGGGCAGAGAATTGAGTGTTTATGTAGGTGTAAGTGTGTATGTGTGAATTGTTTGGATGCAGTTTAAACGTGGGTGTGCAGTTTTTCTTATTGCCCTCAATGCTATGATGCCCCAGACCCCAAATCCCATGATTGAAGATGGTGATTCAAATCAGTTTTTGCCCCTGAAATTAAAAGTATTCAATTTTCTGAAAAATGTTATCTGCTACATTAGACCCAATCTTAATGGTAACTTGTGCGTGTAATTTTCCAAATAAAATACACAGGAGGCACCACAGCTTCTCTCTACTTACCTCTCTCTACAAGAGGTGCAATACGGGATTCAGACAGAAATTTATCCATCATATCTTAATTGTAAGTGAATTTTGGTTTTTTGAAACTCAATATGACCCATTCTTATTTCTCGTTTGCACCCACCTGCTGTCTAAACTCCTTTTTTTTTCCTTTTTTTTCTAAAGGGGTGGCTGTGGTACATAAGGTCATCCTCTATAAGAGTCAGCATTTCAAAGTTTTCCTGAGCAAAAACCAAATCCAGTCCTGTCCTGAGTAGCTGGCGGTGAGCGTCTGTGCATGAGCTTAGGTTTCTATCAATACTTGAAGGATGGCATCTTGCACAGCACCCTCTCCTTTAAGTATATAAATGTGTGTAACTGAGTGAATGATGGCATGTAATTTCAGGTCTTTTAAGTGCTTAGAGGATGAAAAAGGTGCTGTACAATCATACCTCACCTTTCAGCAGCATTGTGAATTAGTTTTGAACTTTTACTCGCCTAACCGCAGCCAAAAAGAGATTATATAACAAAATTAATGGAATAAATGTCTCAATTAAACACAGATGTTAATCAAAACAAATGATAAATGTCATGAAAAAAGTCTAAAGTTTTCATGGAAAGAAGCTCCAGTAACCTCAACTTGGTGTGAGGCATAGTGGTCCAGCTGACAGACTAGCTTGTGTTTGTTTGATAGAGCGTGTGTGTACACCGTGGCTGAATTCAACCACAAACACAGAGGAATCCTCAGATTCTCAGGTCAGGCTGAGAGAGCCCTGCCAAGACTCTGGTTCCCCTCCATAATCCTGTCTCAAACAGAGGGGAAATGTGATGCAAGGTGTCGGCAACACCATCAAGATTGTATTTTTCTGTCTTTACAGTAAGCTACTCCCTTCAAAATTCCAGCCAGGGGTGTAATCCTCCACCTTACACCATTCCTTCTATTCATCACACTTCATTTTTCATCCCTGTGTGAAGAAGGGGAGCTGAGGAAACTGCAGGAAAGACTCAACTGTGTTTGTGTGGAGCAACAAAGAGAATGTCGCCGACAACACAGTCAGAGAAAGAAAAGCAGTTAACAGGCAGAGAGTGTTTGTGCGTCTGTGTGAGTATGTGTGTCATTATCTGCCATTACAGATACAGACAGAACTTTACCTTTCCGCTGTCTGATTCAATCTACTGCCTGCCTTCATGCACGCTTGTACTACAGTAATCATATGCTGTGTGTGTGTGTGCAGTGCACAGTGCGTGCATCAAAGGGAAAAAGCCTCCAAGCAGTGGCCAGCGTCCAGATCCAAAACGAAATCAGTTTCATATGTAGAGAGAGAGTGTGTGTGAGTGTGAGTGTGTGTGTGTGTAGTGTGTGTGTGTGTAAGGCTATAACCCAAGCCTGTTTATGCACCACACTCAGTTGATGGGGAGGCCTTAAATTGGAGCCATGCTGCAGCAGATTAGAACTGCACCGCAAAAATATCCACCTTAACAAGCCCTTGAGTCTGAGGTACTAATTTTATTCTAAAACAGCTTGGCACGGGGACTGAGAGCACATAAGCTTCTAAAATGCAGTAAGAAAGCTTTTATGCAGTTTTGTGTGTATCGACAGGGAACGCTTTAAGTGATGATAAAGTCATGAAGAGAGGGGGAGAGGGGATGACATGCAGACGTTTGTGAAGGTTGATGTGAAAGCTGCAGCAACCAATTTCTCTTGAATAAGGAGAAAGTCATGTGATAAGATATGTCTATGTATATAAATAAAAGTTGATTTCTGGATTTAAGGTCATACTGATGGCTCTGGGAGCATACAGTGAAACTCAAATAACCAAAACAACTCATTTCATTTACGTCACACATGTCATCGTGTGTTTGCGGCGTCTCTCTCATACCTATCATTTTCAGTGGTCTTTGAGTTGGATGGCGTTTTCCCATCAGTGGTTCTTGGTCAAATGTGTTCATGGGATGCGGGAACAGGCAACCGGTCTCCCATCCAGACAGTCACCCAGCCAATGAACAGAGGCCAAAGAGGATCAGCAAAGTCCTCCATGTGTGGCGGATGTTTTCCACAAGCCGAGCAGCCAGCTTGGCCACAGCTGTCCAAACCGCAGGCCCTGGGAGAAGATGAGGAGGAGGAGGAGGGAGGGTTGTGGAAGGAGGCTTTGGGGGGGGGGGACTCTGCAAAGGTCAGACAGGCTGAGGCAGCCGGGAGTGTGGGAACTGTCCGGGTAGGCATGTGCGAAATGCTCCGAGACGAGGTATCATCTTACAGCCAGACCGCCTGAGGGAGCTGAGTGCTGTGTGCCTGCGTGTGTGTAAGTGTGTACATGTGTGCATGTGTTTTTACTCCCTCAGCATGAGAGTCTCTGTGTGTGTCTGTGAGTGAGTGTGTGTGTGTGTGCGTACATTTGGAAGGCTACTGTGACTCTTGGGAAAAAGGGGTGAGCGTTTTAATATGAAGAAAGTGAGGGAAAGAAAAATGGACTTGTCAAACGCACACACACGCACAAAGACACACACACAGTTGTGAACATTCCTCCTGTTGAATAAGGTTGTCTTTGAGTGAGAGTCATGTCAACACTAAAGACTGTGTCCAGAGGTATGTAGCACATCTGTGTAACATGATTTCATGTCAGGGAAACACTGACAATCTTAACTGCCTCTTCACTGAGAAATTAACCCCCTGCACCATTAATACTGTTGTGGTTTGGAGCGATGTTAGTGTGTGCTGCTACATTGTGTGTGTGTACATGTTATAAATTGCTCTGGAGGATTTTAGTAAGTGCCACGAAGCATCAGCAGTCAGATTCCCTCACGTTTTAGGGGGAAACTATCGCATAATGATGTGTGTTTGTCTGCAGCTGAGATGCACTGATGGTTTTAATGAAAAGCAGACAGCCTCAGTTGAACTTTGGTTGCACTCAGAAATGGGATAAGAAGTTTTCACACAGATACACTCTGGCAACGACTGTCTGGCAAGCTTGGCTTGGCTTTAGCGAGTGTTAGACTCACACACCGAGCCAGTAAAGTGAAGTCTGATCCTACTCTGTAGATGCCCCAACATGCAAACCTCACACTATACCTCCCCGAACAGCCCTCACACACCTAACCATCCTCTTCCTCATGGGCTTAATCCCCCATCTATGAAAAAGCAAAAACAACCAAACAAACCCACACCTCAGGATAGAGTTTCATAAACCATCTTGACTTCATGTGTGTGTGTGTGTTTTACTCTCATAAGTTTGTGTGTACCGCTAACTCCCACCTTTGTCTGCTTCTCCTGCTCCCATCTTTCACAGAGCGAGGCCTTTGAAGGAGCCTAATCCTGGTTATTTGCTTTCCCATACTTGTGTCAGGTCCTGTTCTGAATTGACTGTGGAAAACACTCTCTCTAGTCTGCCGACCGCTCCCTCTGTCCCTGATTTATCCGAATAGGATGTGGCCGATGGGCGTATATAAAGCGGGCTGAATGGTGGGTAAATATGATCTCACCGACACTCTTTTTATCCACAAGGCAACACTCTCACTGTTGCTCAAAAACCTTTATGTGGCCTGACATCCATTCAGGGCTTGTTGCATTCAGCCGGGCTCAATGAGAGGTCCCCAAAGACCGCCGCGCTCACAATAGACCCAGTTCATTACAGTAAATAACAGTGGCAGCCGTCGCATTGTTTCCACATAAGAGTTGATTTAGCACACTTAAATGGGTAATTGTTTTAGGCACAGTGATGCTTCCTCTCTGGGTAGGAAGCATACACGGAGGCTAGTGCGTAGTGGGACACTCGCAAGCCCCTGTTACACATACACAAACACACACACACGCAAACACACACGCCCCAGGCAGAAAAGGAGGGATTGAGGGAGGGGACAAGTATGCAGCTTGAGAGATGGAGGTCGTGTGTGGACTGCTGGGAGAGAGAAGGAGTAAGTTGTATGTTAACAAGCTTGTATAAAACCTCTTGAGGATCAGAGAGGAAGTTCCTGGATGAGCAACATTACTTCACATGAACCCCACTGTCACCGATGTTACTGCTCAAGATCCTCATTCATGTCTGTGGCAGTTTTGTAGACAGCGACTCTTTCTCAGCGTGTAGCTCCACAGCCGTTCGCGCAAGTCATCCCTCTCCCACAGTCACGCGATGGCCGTCTGTGGGCGCCTGCCAAGGCCTCTGCGGCCTCCGCAGAGCTGTGCAGCATTTTCCATTCCCAGGGGCCTTCGCAACTCCAGCCCAGCCCGGGCGCACCGTGTTTATGTCCTGTATAATTGCAGACCTCAGTCTGAGCAGGAGGCCAGCGTCTGTCAAAAAAGGCATGTGTTCCCTTCAAGCAGGGACTAAATCACATCAACTCCCGCAGTCAGACCGCGTTTCCCACAACCCCCTGCCTGACCAGGCCGGGGGCCCCCAGGCCTGCTGATTGGATAAAGGGGGAAATGAAATGGAAATTCCACTGTGAGCCATACAACTACCTTTCATGCACAAAAACTATGTCTGCGTCAGTCTGCTAAGTCACACACATACACACACTAGTTACTTGCCCGAAAATCCAAACACATTATTTCTCTTTCACAGCCCCCAACCAGCCATGGGGCCCACATTTGGTCCCACACCTTGAACAGGCAGCCGTGAAATGGGGCCCTGTCTGGGAACTGTTGGCAGGCCTGGTGGAAACAGCAAAAGCGTGGTCCTCGTTAGCTGGGATGACGCTAGCTAGCTTCATTGTCTCTGGGGTAAGTGCTTGGCTGCTGCTGCGGCTACTGCCAAGAGGTTGAGAGGAAAAGGTGAAACATAACCAGCTCTGGGGCAAAGAAAACCGAAGCAGAGGCCGTTTACCTAGCCTTGTGCAGCTGTAAATCAATTACAGCTTCGTAAAAGTATTATTTAATAGCTAGCTAATAAGTTGATGTGGCCCTTGGCAGCCTCTCATTCTCTTGTTACAGTATCAGCAGCTATGACAACATCCACTGACCTCCAGGTCACCCAACCCACTGACCCACTCTGACCACTGCATACTTCTTTTGACCTCCAGCGCGTCTCTCCCCTCCCATCCTCATTCTCTTCCCCTGTTGGGAACCAGAGGCAGATCAAGGGGTGGGTGGGGTGATGGGTGGGGATGGTGACAGGAGAGCATGAGGAGAGGAGAAAATTCCTGAGCACTTAAATCCCTTCACATCCACCCCGGAATCAGAGAATCCAGCTCACACTCTGCCCACACAAACCCAGCCCCTGTGACACTCCAGGAATGCTGAAGCCTTCTTTTTTTCTTCACCAATTTGGATAATTACCGCAGCGGTCACGGTGCTCAGAACAGAGACCGTGACCCTGGGCGGTGCACAGTGACAGCCCGTGTAGCTGAGGCGGCGCTCTGCTTTGTGCTGCCGAAACCAAACCTACCGACAAATTCATCACTGACTTCTCTGTAGCAGCCCATATTTGGTGGCTTTAATGCCTGCCAAGGAGTGTATTGTGTGGATTCAGGGATACCTCACATTCCCATGGAGTGCACTGGAATGTAGCTTTAAGGGCATGGTATCGCCTAATGATGGTTTCCAACAGATTTGTTCTTGATTAGCTTCTTCTTCTGGTAAAAACATGCATCTACTGCAGAATATTTGAATCAGTTTATCTTTAATTTATTCCCAAAGCATCCATATATGAAGTGTTAGTGGTTACTGATGTTTGGAGCCTGATTTCTGCTGAAGGAAAGGTTCACAGATCAAACAGGAACACTGACATACTGCTGAACAACTCTGGACAGCTGACAGACCAACCAGAATCAAACGAAACACTAAGGAGTCTATTGGCAAACATGGAGCTCGTGGAGAAACTTTGGGGTCTGAAACTGCAAAGTCCAAGTTGTGTTGGCTAAGTCAAGGGAAACTGATATCTGCGGAGCTTTCTTTTATTCAGATGAAACCTAATTTCAAAGTCTGCAATGATTTCAACCCTAACAGCTTTGGCTGATGTCCACCCAGATCCAACAGGGAAGATTTTGGCATGTTTACCAGGGTTGAGTTTCATTTTAATTTAGATGATTCTGGTACTTATCGATTCTTAACGCTAATCTCAGTCTGTACACAAGAAAATTTTAAAGAAATATATAACAAAAACACAACATCAGAAATATACATTATGCATTTGACATACCTGAATGCTGGGGACTCCATAGAGGCAAACACCTTCACCACAAATCTTGTCATCGCACCATGACATTCCTTGACTTTCACCTTGCTGATCTTGCCCCTTGTTGCCTAAGTGATTCGAGTTTCTGCACAACAGGGTCTCTTCGTAAAAGGGGGGTTTAACATGATGCTCTTAACTGGCAGCGATCAAAAATACATTTTAAATATTTGTAGACAGGATTTGTTAACCTCATTATAGATGCAAACATGAATTCATCTGTGATTGATCAGACTTTACCACAGCAGCTATCATTCAGGGTGTTTGTGTGATTGGGAGACTGCAGCACATTGAATACAGTGCAGTGTCTCGAACTTGCTTCATGCTGAGGTAGATGCTTTGTCATTTTGGACATGCTTTCCAAACTTTCCAAGGACGCTCCGGCATGATTTCAATCGTGCTTTCTTCTGCCATGATATACTTGATCACAAGTGACGCAACATTCTGCCGACACAGCAGGTCCTGGCAGATCGATAAAACTTTATGAGGACTGCAAAAATCTCACTCAATTTTTAAGGCTGATGGATTTATGTTGCTGGAAACAAAAAGTGGAACAGAAATCCACGTGCCTTATCGAATCCACAAATCTTGGAAACTTGGAACCGGTTTCTGATGCCCAAGCCTAATGTTTAACACACACTTTCCTCTGTTGTTTAAAGTGTTTGTGACTTTGTCATCATCTGGTTTTTCGTTCTGAATTCAATCAATTTTTAACATTTTAAAGGGACTTCATAGCCCTTGTATGTGGTACATATTCTTAAGTTTAAGTTTAAAAAGACATCTTAACAATATTTTGGACTATTCCTGTGTACAAATTCAAGCACAGTACACTGTACAGTAGGTCATTGTATGCCTTCACTTACCCACATTTAGTTGTTGGTGTTCTGTGGCTAAACAAATTTCTGTTGTTTTTGCCTCCAGGTGTGAACCTCTATAGCAGTTGGGTCTATCGCTTACATCTTTGCTGAATCATCATGTTCTGAGTAAACAGTGTTTTTTTTGTGTGTGTGTGTTTCTGCAGACAGCTGAGGTCTCATTTTTCCATCTAGTGAGACCTGTTCAACTTTGGACCTGATAAAAACAGATTTAAAAATGTACGTTTGGAA